ACTCTCCATCCAAGTCACAATTTGTAAAAGTAAACCATTATAGGTCAAAGTACGGTCTTCAACACAGAGCCTTGGCTCACACCGAACAGTAAGCTATAAAGGGCCCCAAAAATTACTAGTGTAAAACCATTCAAACGGGAAAACCAACGGTCTAATCTATATAAAAAACGAGAAACGAGAAACACTTATGAACCACATCAACAAACGACAACTACTGAACATCAGATTCCTAGCTTAGGACAGGTGCAAACAAATGCAGCGGGTTTAAACGTTTGAATGGTACCAAACCTTCACCTTTTTTCCTGAAACAATAGTGTAACATCACAACATAGAAAGACACACTATAAAATATCAACTGAAATAGCTTAACTCAATCAAAGGACATATTAACACCAGTGAACATACACTGAACAAATAAATTTGACCTATGATACAATGTAAATACAAAATAAATAAACTAAGGGAAGAATAATAAAAGTAACATGTTATATCGGTATGAAATGTTAAACAATTTAAGGAAAACAATATGCTCGAACAAAAATATCAGCCATTTGCATTAACTTTAAACACAGGTAAATGAAAATAATTTTGTTGTTAGGTATACGTGTACAGTTCCAATAGAGAAAGGAAATATTTTTACAAAATAAATAATTTTGATGTTCATAGTACGAAGTGAAAATTTATAGTAATACCAAACACTTATCAAAGTTGGTATATAGACCAGATATAACCCTGAATAACATTAAATAACAAAAAAGCATTACAATTAGTATCAACAGGTCAAATAAACAAGAAAGTAAGATTTGAGAGTACTCGCAGTTACTGAAAGCTAGTTAAAAGCCAAAACAATTAGTAATAAAAAATCATGCATCAGAGACTAAAATCAACTAAAACACATCCCAGGGATTTAGTATTTTAACGTCATGGACAGTCAAAGAAGACATGACTAGTGCAATGCCAAAAATAAATGTATCGACAGACAGTAGGATAGTTAGGAGTTTAACCTCTTTATAGATCAAAATGAACGTGGGTGTGTCTTTATACATCCCGTTTGAAAAGAATACAAATTTAGTTATGTTTTAATTTGCTGATGACAAAATCGATATGAGTGCCAATGTAAACTATATTCAAAGATCTAATTACAACATTTGTAAGATAACCTTTACGTATAAGTTTGTTTAAAGGTTCGATGAGTTTACACGGACCACATAGTGATTTCCGCGCTTTAAGTACAATATTACCGTAAAATTTAGGATGTGAAATACCGTTTAAATCAGTTTTCTACAGGTACAGCCACATTTACTAATCAAATCTTTATATCTATGAAAGAACTTAGCAAAAGTTTTACGTAATTAATGATAACGAAATCCCTGACTTAATGATTTACCAGTGATGCATTGATTACGTTCGTTAAAATCTATGACATCACTACACACACGGGCATAACGAACGAGTTGGGATATATTAACACCGTATGATGGAGCCAAAGGAACATCGCCGTCTAAAAAAGGAAAATTAACAATAGGGAATGAAAAATCGTCTCTTTTGTCGTAAATTCTCGTATGGAGTTTTCCTTTAGATATTGAAATGTCCAAATCCAGAAAAGGACAACTACTGCTGTTTATGTTAGATTTAGTTAAAGTAAGTTCTATTGGGTAAATTTCGGTAGTATATTTAGAGAACTCTGGATTATTTAACGAAAAAATATCATCTAGATAACGGAAGGTATTGTTGAATGTATCAACCAAATGTAACAATGACGTGTCTTTACTGAGTTTGGTCATAAACTGAGATCATAGCAATACAGGAATAAATCTGCTATTAAAGGGGCGCAGTTAGTGCCCATAGGAATACCTACTACTTGTCGATACACTTTATCGCCGAAACGTACATGTTGTCCAGGAGAAAATTAAAAGCTTCAATCATATCTTCACATTTCCAGTAAGTGTATCTAGCATGCTTTCCTTTTTCGTTACAGAAAAAGGCTTTAAACGAGTTACAGCAAATAAATTTGTAATGAGATTTTTCAAAAGACCATTTAATTAAATATGAAAACTTTTTCTTGATAAGATTGTGTGGAAGTGTAGTATAGAGAGTAGAAAAATCATAACTGTCAACAGAATTAAAAGGACCATCAAAAGCATGTATTTTATCTAAAACCTCTAAAGAATTTTTAACACTCCAAAAATAATTAATACCATTACTTTCATAAGCTTTCTTACAAAAGTTAATTACAAGTTCTTTGATAGTAGTAAGGGAGGTAGTTAGAAGCACTGATATATTGGTAGTAGAACACTTACTAGATGCGGAGATGAAACGGAATCTAAATGGTTTTTTGTGCAATTTAGGTAACCAGTACATAGTAGGGACTTTCAAATGTTCGGAAGAGGCTTAAAGCTGGGTAGTGGCAGTGATATGCTTGTTTACAATTTGACTCTCTGTGGAGCGTACGGACCTGAATGTAGATGAATTTGTAATTTCGTTTTGGAGAACTTCCGTGTAGTATATGCGTCACACCACCATTACATTATTTGCTGCTTTGTCTGCCGGTACGAACACAAACCGCTTTGCGAGTACTTGGAGTATATAATAACGGTTTTCAGTAATTTGTGGTAACGAAATCCCTGACTTAATAATTTACCAGTTATACATAAATTACGTTCATTGAAATCCAAAACGTCACAACAGACACGGGCATAGCGAACGATTTGTGATATATAAACACCGTAAGATGGTGCCAAAGGAACATCATCGTCCAAAAAAGGAAAATTAACAATAGGGAACGAAAAATCGTCCCTTTTGTCGTAAATTTTAGTGTAGAGTTTCAAATTTAAAACTGAAATATCCAAATCTAGGAAAGGACAGTTATTACCGTTTATATTTGATTTATCTTTAAGTAAGATCCTTTGGGTAAATTTCGGCAGTATATTTAGAAAATTCTTGATTATCTAACGAAAAAATATCATCGAGATAACGGTAAGTGTTGTTGAATTTATCAATTAAATGCAATTTAGACGGGTCTTTACTGAGTTTGGTCATAAACTGTGGTTCATAGCAGTACAAGAACAAGTCTGCTATTAAAAGGTGCAATTGGTGCCCATAGGAATACCTACAATCTGTCGATAAACTTTATTGCCGAAACTTACATAAATATTATCAAGCAGAAAATTAACAGCTTTTTTCATTCATATTGAGGTGGGTAGATCAAAGGCTGAAATGTTTGGAAAAGTTTTGGTTAGGAGCCGTAACTAAAATTTTACAATACTGAGTTTGATAATGTCCCGTGGGTTGAAGAAAGTCCTATTTTATTTTGAAGTCACTATATCCCAGTGGGTAGGGTCACTGATGACAGGAACTGCATGATGAGATTGAAATTAGGGCATATATTTGGCTTCTGAGTGAATAAAGATATTTCTTAACTCGGACTATGGGTTGAATATTGGTTGAAAAGATCCTTAGTGATTCTGAGGCTACTGGGTCAAAGGTCACAGCAGCAAATATTAGACTGAAATTTGGTACAAATATTTGGTTTGGATAATATCTTTTCAACCATAAATTTTTATGCTAAAGAAAGTTTTGGAAGAGAGAAAATAATGGGTAATATTTTTTTTCGAGCAAATAACTGTTTGTTCTACTACAAATCCACAAAGATCGCAACTCGTCGTTTGCACCCATGGAGCTTCTGTAATTCAACAAAAATGCAAACATTTAGACAGTTTTCTTTTTTCTTTTGGGGGATACAAGAGCTTGAAAGTCTGATCCTACTCTTTGAAACATGCTTTAGAAAGGCACCAACACTCTAAAGAGTCATTTCTGAAGCTAAGAATCTGTGATTTTACCAGCTTTTCAACAAACATGTTCAGTTCCGGGTGATTTATGTTCTGTGATATTAAAGCTAAACATTGCTACAAAATATCTTTTTTTACAATTTTTATGAATTAGTAAGACAACTAAAATTCTGTCTTTATCTTTTTCTTCAATCTCCATTTTAATCAACTCAGTCAAAAAAAGTATCAACTCTGATAACTTTTTTGCAGGCGTTGAAAGAAAAAAAACAGTCAAAATCCCAGGTACTATCCTGGCTCATACATTCCCTTTTTGTTATCTATATGAAACTATGGGAATTGGCTCCCAATATTTCTCGAAAATAAGTGAAGTGACTTACAATTTTTATATCAATTTTAAACATAATGTGTATTATTTAATCGTTTTCATTGGTAGAATTTAAGAAAAATAAATTTTTCTGGTACATCCTTGTATGAAATGCTCTATTATTTCGGTAAATGCTTATTCGGGAACTGCTCATATGCATTGTTTCTTTTTTCCAACCTTTTCACGAACACTGACATAAAAAGTTCACGATTAAAAGAAGAAGGGGATCAGTTACAATGGAAGCAAACATAATCACAAATTGAAAAAAAAAACCACAATACTTACAATAGTACTACATTTTTATTCGGCAACGTCCAAAACAAACTAACTTTAAGACAATTAAAGGTAATGACGCGACAGGTTCATCCAAAGAAATATGACTAATGCAATACAGAAAATAAGTTGAAAGGTGACGACAAAAAAAAAGAGATACAAAATCTAAATGATAACTAGTTGTTGACTATTTCAGTAATCCATGTAGTATCGATAAACCAAAGAAACATTCCGCAGGGTTATTTCTCTCAGTCGTTAAGAGCTACATTGTAATAATTGTCCACACAATTTTGGGTTCAATTTCAATTGAAAAGTCTTTGAAATGATAGTTTGTGTCTGTTTCCTACTCACTAGACTCAAAACCATAACTCACGAACCAGGTTTAAAAAAGAATCAAATTTAATTAAAATCCACCATAATTCCAAATCGTCCTGCAATTAAAATCCTATTGTTTCAGAAAGACAACGGAGATGTGTATTCGCTGTTGGATATCACATATTTAATCGAGCGGAAATTTAAAAAGCTCAAGTGAAATATAAAACTAGATCCTATGTTCCGGGACATGCATTTGTGTTTCTTGTTATAGATATACTTGGTCGTTAGCTTAATTGTTTTAACCTGTTAGTGTCACTATTTTGGTTGATAAAATAAATGGACATTATCACATAGATTGACGAATGAAGTTTGAAAATATAATTTATCCTCATGTTGGTGTGTTTGTGCTTTAGACAGAAACCGGAGGAAATTGTAGTTAGAACAAAGGTAATTATTCCATTAAGTACAGAGATAATACAGAATATGGAACGAATCTTGTTGCTATGGAAGGTTCTTGTAATTAAATTAGTTACGACTGTAACTGCAGTTATTATTCGTTTATATTCAACAAACTTTTATGTTTCTTTATTACATGGATCTTAATTGATATACATATTTCCAGTCGATAAAATATATCAGAATGAGGATGATGAAAAACCGAGAGAATATGACGTTCAGTGACAACAGTTACTATTTCCATCTAGCTCATTTCATTAGTTCCTGCAATACAACACTGGATGATATTATTTCGCGTGTTTCTGAAAATATTTGACTAAACATTAATTCTATGAAACTATGTTTCTTTGCTTTTTAATTCTTATACAGTCACTATAAGCGCAAGCAATACAATTAAACTACGTGCGATGTCAGATATGTTTAGATAAGTTTGAATTAAGAGAACATTTTTCTAAAAAGCTTTTACTGTGGTTGGGTTGCTGTCTTATTAACACACACACCACACCAGTCTTTTAAAAAGGTGGTAGCTACTGTTTTCACCAGAAATAGGTTGATTGCGTACGAAATTCCATTGAATAATAAAATGTGCCCACCAAAAAAACATGGAATCGCGGAAGACCGACAACTTTCAAGAATTCGGCTCGAAAAAGAAATCGTATAGAAGTTTTCAACATGTATAAAATGTGAAAAATGTTGAAAACACCTTTCAAGTACTTTCAGATTAAGAATTCAATTTGGTTTAATTTTTCCAGTAATGCAACAAACACAAGTGAAATCTGACACAACAAACACAAGTGAAATCTAATACAACAAACACAAGTGAAATCTGACACAACAAACTTCCCTTTTACAGCAGTGCACAAGCGGCCGAAAACACGGTTATTTTTTAATTTTTAAAAATAAAAGATCTATTCTGAGAAATAAAAAAGTCCCACAAGTCCATTTTTCTATCATGACTTTTAAAATATTAGATTAAAACAAACATGTGAACACACCTTAATGCGAAATCAACCCACCATCACAATAAAACCAACATGACTTAATAAGCTGACTACCGATCCTTACTCGAAAACCTCCTTCACTATAAAAATAGCAAATCAACTTTAACAAGTCTAGATATCAATATGATTTATATAAAAACCAACTGCTATTTAGAGTAAAATACTATCCTATCATTTCAGATGGGAAACGGACAGTCTGGTGGAGCAAAAGGAACGCCTACCTTATATATTCATGGGCTTAGTGCTCCAGCTAGGGCAGCATGGATGACCACTAAAGCTGCAGAAATCCCGGTTCATTTGAAATACGTAGATCCATTTAAAGGCGAACATAAAACTCCTGAATTCGCTAAAGTAAGTTAGAATAGACAAAAGTTTCTGCACACAATTAAATTCTACATCTATTTTTTTTTAAATAATCAAAAGTTTTCAGATCCACCGCACAAAATAGACCCAAAAAATCTTTTGTTGAAAAATCGCCTGTAAGTTGATTGAGTCTTTCAAACAACGTGTTTCAACAGACAACAATGACAGATTGAAGTCAAACAAAGAAAAGGTTAATTTTAACTTGAAGTAGTTTTTTGAAGGAAGTGTTTTAATACATTGTAGTTCTAGAGGCTTTGCTCGAAACAAACTGATGTTTTGAATTGGAAGCCCCTATTTTTGCTACTTTGCTGGCGAAGAACATTATAATTGAGGTTCAATTTTCAATGGTATAATTTCAGATTCGATAAAGCGAATTAATTTTGACTAACTTTCTAAAACTCGAAGCTAAAATTGTTTGAAACCACGAATATGTGATCATATGTGCTGATGATCATATTTTCGATTGTGATTTCAGAAAAATACTGGTCAAGACAAAGTTATAACCTGGAACAAATTTATTTAGGACCGATAAAGCAACGGCTATAGGTGCATCCGCATTTTTTTTTTATCTCACTGCTTAGCGCTTCTCTTGTTCCTAACAACAGAAAACAATAAAGAGGTGCCTGTGTTAAGTTAACATTTACTGATCTTATATATCTAAAAAGCGTCTTGTATACAAAAACACCTGAATGCTGATATTTTTCTTCAAAACATAATGTAGGATTCGACTCTTTTCAATTCCACCTAGCCGAGCACTAGTGACAGAAATAGTGTAATTAACATACTTAATACCAGTGGTCATGTGTAACAAAACTGACTAAATATGATGGTCCTAGGGAAAGTTACTTCAATGTGCGTCAAAAATATGCAATCCCGCTCATTTTGAAGTAAGGGCAAATAGAACACAGTATGTTGATTTATTATTATTTTTCCAATTAGCGTGTCTTTTACTAATCCAGAGGGGCTTTCAATCTGTTTTCTGTTCTACATTGTAGAAAAAAAATCTAGTTGAACCGGGGGGGGGGGGGGGGGGGGTGGGCTAAGTTGATCATTGTCGAATTCCTACTGCCTGGGTTCCAGTCTAAAGTGCCTAATAATGGAATATTACAAGTTCAATCTGAAGAAGATTCAGACCTATCGTAACTGTTGTACTCGAAAATCGAAAATTCATATCTGTTTTTAATTAGATTGACCAGCAAACGATACGTTTGTTCCCTCACGTAATTTGTTAACCATGAGTAGTATCATTCACAAATCGAAAAAAAAAATTACAGAATAATTAAAGGGACAACTAATAGTTGAACTATTTGATTTTCGTGGGGCGGGGTGGGGTTGGTTGGGGGGTTAAAATTATTATCATGACCTGGTAAGAGCTGAAAATAAACAGGCCCAAATAAATAACTTTGCCCAAGACAGCATGAAAATGAATATTCTGCAAAACACAAAATGCAGGAAATAATTGTGTAAGTGAATGAAAATACCCCTTCCCGAATATTAAATGGTTGTCCCTTAATGAAAAGATTATGAACTATAATTATAATAGTATAGACACGAGCTTTGAGCTTTATGATTGTTTTCTAGATAAATCCTGACATGACGCTACCTACCTTAGTAGATGGAAACTTTTCTTTATGGGAAAGGTATGTATATGTCGAAAAGTATGCTTGTACCAGTACAATCGTCAAAAATAGTTAACTTGCAACAATTCATTCTAATATCTCAAACTATCCACAAAGAGTACTATAATGGGTCACGGCCTAACATGCAAGATAATAATTCGGGATATGGTAGGGACAAGCATTTTTGTACATAGCACCAGCAGGTTTCAAAGCAGATAGGAAAGACGTGTTGTGACATTTTTGACAATGTCATTATTACACACAGTCTTCTAGTAATTTGCATTGTAGACACTTAGCAATAAATTATGTTCTTTCTAATGGCAATTTTAATTTTGGTGGCACATTTTCAACCCAAATGTTACTGGCATGTCCATTGAAAAAAAAAAACAACCAGAAACCTATAAAAAGTAATTGATGGTCATTTGGACTACATAATGTCATTTCTTGTTATTCCTATAACGAACTACTACCAATTGAATATTTGTTGAAATCTGATTAAATTTCATTGTAATTCCATTTCAGTCGGCCTGTTATGCAGTATTTAGTGAGTAAGTTTGGAGGCAGACATTCTTACCTGTATCCTAAAGACCTACAGAAGAGAGCTATAGTGGACAGATTATTATACTATGATCTAGGATCGGTTTACAAAACAGTCACAGAATATATGGTAATAAATGTATTTCACTAAAGTCTTGCTCATTTGGATGAATGCATATTGTCAACCATGTCGATCTATTCAGTCTCAGGTAGTTTAGAAGAAAATACGCCAACCCTAATATGCATTTTCACAAATTTTACATTTCATTCCAAATTCCTCAGAATTAAGAATTACTTCTGGCTGTTGTAGGTGTGCCCTGCTTTCTGTCTGACTGGAAACAATGAGTTTATAAATGTAGTATTTAACTAAAGTTAGGAACTTTTCATAAGGGGGGGGGCCCGCTGACTGACCTAAGGGGGGGGGGGGGGGCCCGCTCCAGTCATGCTTCAGTGATTCCCTATATAATCAACCAAATTTTTCCCACAAAAGGGGAGGCCTGGGCCCCCCAGGATCCGCCTATGGTATTAAATAGGGTGAAGATACCATGGGGGCAATCAAAAGCTATAAGTATAAAAAAAAGACAACACCATGGTCCTAAAGAAAAATGACAACCAATTACCAATTATCCTGAAATGTTCTCCTTTATATAATATTTATTTCTAGTTTCAGGAGCACCAATGTTTGAAGCTGGTTGAGGCATTAAACAAATTTCTAAGATGATAATAAATTCATGATTTAACCAAAGTTTGTTAGCTCTTGGTGCATCACATGATTTTATGAGTTTTGTTTATCATTTTTGGGGGGTCAAATTTTCTATTTTTAGTGACAATGGTGTCCATGCTTGAAGGCAGATGAGGTCACCAATAACAATTCTCAAAGAAAATCGATAATAAGAATATTTTTACTGAAGAGTGGTATTAACAGATTTTTCATAATGCTGGCCATCTTTAATCATATATTTATCGAAAAGAGAATCATAAATACATTTTCAAATATCAAACTTTGGTATTTATTGATCTTTCAGGATTTCTTTTAACAAATTCTTTGGTAAATTTTCTGTTTTTGGTAAAAATGGTCTAAACAGTTAAAGTGGGTTTGGGTCATCAACCACAATTCTTTAATTGAATAGAGAATAATCTATGCAAGTATATACATGTTGGTACAACATTATGAGATTTTTTTGAAGTGTAACTTAAGATGAAGTTGATTGCAATCTAATTCTTTCACTGATATAAATCTGTACACAGTGAAATTTACCAAAATATTCAGTTTTATTTTTAACTTTCAGTATCCTCAGCTCTTCCAAGGCAAACCCCCTGATGCAGAAAAAGAAATGGCTATGAGGGCAACTTTTGACTACCTGAATCGTCTGTTCGATGGTGGTGGCCATTATATGACTGGAGATAATTTAACCATAGCAGATATTAGCATGGCTTCAAACATTTCATTGACTGAAATTAAAGGTTATCGTTTAGATGCTTGGCCAGACCTGGCCACATGGTATCAAAGAATGAAAGCTCAGCCATGGTGGCCAGAATGCAATAAAGGCCTTTATGAATGGAAATCTGTTTAGACCAACAAAAGAAAAGTGCATTTCAACATTAAAATTGTTCACAGAATTAATAGAAAGCAGTTTACAATTATTTTCATGATTACAATCCTGAATTCTTCATTGGTAGCATTTGTTGGGATTTCACATAGTACTGAATTGTTCAGAAAATTATCGTTAGGGATACCTGAATGTGGAGTACTATATAAAAATTCTTGAATTGCTCTGTGAATTTTCTAACACTAAAATCATTTCTGTTTAAATAGATTTTTGAGTGTTTTAATTAAGAATGGTAAATTTTCCAAAACAAATATGAACTACCGGTAGTACAAATGAATGTTATAACAATGTTATTTCAAATGTTGTGCAATGTTTTATTTATAGAAGATGATCATTTATCACCTTATTATTATATTGTAAATCTGAAATACTTATCATACTAATGTATTCAGATTAAAGCTGTGCCACCTTCTTGCCCCTTTAATGTGATACAAATGTATACTTTTTCAAGTAGGTAGAAACAAATCAAGAATTTGTATAAATTATTTATTATAAATCAAATCAATAAATTATAAAATACATTTATTTTCATCGTACATAATTATTTCACAGAAATTAGACTAGTGCAAGACCTTTTTTTTTGTAAGTCAATTCATGTAATGGATTACAATGATGGTTTTTGAGTCTTTGGATTGTTGTCTCCTTAGCATATTCCAAACACCTCCTTTCACCATAGACAATAAAAACTTGATAGGTAAAACTTACAGAAATCGATAATACTGTCACTGCCTTTGATTAAAATGTAATGTTATACCAAGAAAATTAGAAGACCCAAAATAAAGTATGATCTGCAACAATAAAGCTGAATAGAGAATGACCCATTTGTGATAAAGGCAGGACATTCATCACCTATTTGTTCTGATATTTTGTGTCGTTTTGGATGTTGCTTCATTGACATTAACCTTACATCTCATTTGTTCATATTTTTGTCAGACACAGAATGACATATTTAGTAGGAATACTTCCACAGGTTTTATACAATTGATTGATTGATTGATTTTTGGTGTTTTAATGCCACTTTCAGCACTATTGGCTATTTCGTGGCAGCCAGATTTTAATGGTGGCAGAGGCTGGAGAGCACAGAGAGAACCATCGACCATCAACAGGAAAATTGACAATCCTTGTCAATCAAGTTTGGAGTGGAATGCAACTGCCAGGTATGGGGCTCGAACACACAACCTCAGTGTTAACAGGCTAGTGGTATAGTAGTAGGAATACTTAGACCACTTTGCAACTGAGGCCCCTTACAATGAATTCACTAAAATAATATAAAAGAGTACACCATAAATCTTTGCTATGGCCATAGTATGGGTCATTCCTAGTTTTTACAATTAAGGACCTTCCAGTAAGTGTCAGAATGAAAGTCCAACTTGGATTTATTTTGATTACAAGATAAAAGATATTTTTGACAATTAAAATGCCATAGACATATTTGTATATCAACTACAAATGAAGACATACTATTGTATGCCAGATAATATTTAAAAAAAATTAAATTTATAAATATAATATAAAAACCATTTAAACAAAGATAAATTGAATTTAATACTTAAGAAAGTAAATATATGAGTAGAGAATATATATGAGAATATCATCCAACAAACTCAAACTTCCAGATTCTTCTCAATTATTCATTTATAACACAATTACTAGGTGTTTGGTTAACAGATAGCAAGTAGGAATTTGATGACTCAACTACAAGAGACAACAAGTCAGCAGGACTTCCCCTTTTCTTATTAAGAGGATAAGAAATGAAGGAAGCAACTGTTCAGTCATGAGCTTAACAAAAGAAGCTATCAAAAATAGTTATTGTTCGAATCCTGACATTCAGTTTAAGATTCTGTTATTGGTAATCACCATACACTAAGATATCCTTAGTGGCCTTTCCATTGTTAAAACAACCAACACTAATTTGAAAGACTACATGCAATTGTATCCCATAAAAAAAGAGATGTCATAATCAACTGTGTCACTTTGCAAACTTTCTTAACTGTAACATCAATAGATTGCATTTACCATTGGAACCATCTAAAAGACAGATGATTACCAATGAGACAACTATCCAAATGAAGCAGATTTAATCATATATATATATATATATATCTTGGGCAGGAAAAAAATAAAGTGTGTATAGTGTGTTCTGAAAACAATAGTCTTTTCTTTGGCATGTGAATAGTTGTGATATTTTTTCTTCAAAGTTTCACCATCTTTTACCTTAAACTTCAATTAAGTTCCAGGAAATTTAAAACTACTGTTCCCACTGTGGTTATAAGTGTGCTATGATTTGATTAAATATACCTAGGAACTGAATCATTCATTGACTTAGCGTCTAATTGTCAAGGAATTGACAACCCTTCAGTATTGCTTACTTCCATTAAATTAAAAAATTTCCATGCCACCTCTTTTACTCCTTCTTAGAAAAATTGATGTTCACCCTTTATTAATATATCTAACATCATTTCCATATTTTTTTTCTCTCCAAAATCTTAATTGAAATACATAATACAGATAGCCTCAATTATGCCAGAAGTCTCTTGAGAAAGCTAAGCATATAATCTTATTGGTTTTTGATTCCTGCACAAAGAAAAAATACACTGAGGCCACAAAATAACATAAAAATATATTAAGTAGATCATTACCGGGTACACACATCTATATATCAGAAGAGATTTGTACAGAGCTTCTGCATTTGTTTCACACATGTCCAATTCACATATACAGGAACGTAGTTCCTACATAGTGAATCATACTTCAATAATGGATGGAATAATTTGACCAGTGGATCTACCACCTCAAAATTATGCCAGAAGTAATGAATGAGTGTCTTGAAAATCAAAGATTTTTTTCACAGAAAAACACCCTTTTCCTCCACAATCACTACAATACTGAAGTTCTACACATGATGGGATGATTAATGCCTAACAATTGACTGTCTGTATTATATTGCTGGATATACTGCTGTGTCATCTTAAATCTGCAACCTCAATTTTCTCTGTATCTACAATCCTGGCATGTGAACTATCCTGCAACAATGAAAAGAGATGTGTAATATCATTTGTGACTATGTTTTTTTTATTTACTAGCATTGGTTAGATACCACTGCTGGCGGACTATTAATTCCGAGGGTATCATAAGTTCAATAGGCAATGTTTCGGTACTGACATCATTTACAGCACACTTTTCTATAAATTCCTGTCATATCTTCATAAAGACAGTTTATTCAATAGCAATTTGCTTGTTTGGGGTATGAATACACAGTCACATCTGGTCTGATAGGATATGCGAGACCAGACAAGACCAACATGCATAGAAAACTTCAAATAGCAAATGGATGTCATACAAGTGGGAGGTTTTACATAATCTAAAACCTGGATAGTCACACCACTTTCATTCAAAAATTCAAAAATGTTCATACAAAGTACTGTGGATTCATCAATTTTCATGGGTACCACTTCATGTGGACTGAGGGAAAATTGTCTTTTTTTGTGGATATTTGAATTTGTGGTTTTACCAAAGTAAGCATACAAGCCTATAGAAAATATGTACTTTGTTGAACATTTCAATTTGTGGTTTACCTATGCCTGTGAAATCCATGAAAATTGGTATCCCACAAATATTAATAAAGTCACAGTTATCACCAATTCTTTCATGAGGATCAGTTGAAGAGATTTTTGTCTAATGGTATTTACGATTTTTTTGGAACATTGGATTTTCAATTTTCTTGTCCTGATTGAGAAATTTTTAACTTTAAATAAATATTTAGCATTTTATCTCTTAGTTTCAAATGCAATTCAAGACTTAATTTGTGACTGTTTCTTTTATTTACTAGCATTGGTTAGATACAATTGCTGGTGGACTATTAATTCCGAGGGTATCATAAGCTCAATAGGCAATGTTTCGGTACTGACGTCATTAACAACATACTTTTCTATAAATTCCTGTCAATAAATTATGAAATTATTAAGAAACTAAGGTTCCAACTCCATCTGGCAAAGCTGACCTAAGATGAATTAGCTTATTCTTTTGGGACCCATTTGATCATATAGCTCCTAATTTTCTACCCATTCGTAAATCTGTGTCTTTCAAATGTTTAGGTTTAAGCATTCCTGATGATGGTAAATTAAGAAAAGCGAAATTTATAAGTGTTATTTTCATTTTTCCTGTGATCAAAAATTTGTATTCTAAAATACTAAAACATTTTCTTATAACAACTGTATACAAAACACAGCTAACTCTTTAGAAAATGTCAATCAGCAAAACAAATCAATGAAAGGAATAAACTTATGTAATCATGGTTTTCACTCAGCAAAGAAAAGACTTCATTCATGTGTTGTAAATTTTCGAAAATCCTTTAAATACACCTCATTACTATCACCAGTGAAAAAATATAATCTACATAGATTCTAATTCATTTCAATTTTTTAAAAGTGCACACGAAACATTATGATTGGTAAAACGTTCTAAACAAGAGGCTCTCAAGAGCCTGAATCGCTCACCTGTATTTCAGAGGAGAAGATTTTTAAATGTTAGCAAACTTGATGAACAAATTGTGTAAAATTGTAATTAAAGGGCAATAACTCCTTAAGGTGTCAATTGACAATTTTGGTCATATTAACTTTTTTGTAGATCTTACTTTGCTGAACATTATTGCTGCTTACAGTTTACATATATCTATAGTAATATCCAAAATAATAACAAAAATTTTGTTAAAACTACCAATTCTGTGGCAGCAACCCAACAATGGGTTGTTCGATTCGTCTGAAAATTTCAGGGCCGATAGATCTTGACCAATTAAACAATTTTACTCCATGTCACATTTGCTCTAAAAGATTTAGTTTTTGAGATATAAGCCAAAAACCGCATTTGACCCTTATGTTCTATTTTTAGCCATGGCGGCCATGTTTGTCGATGGATCAAAACTTCGGATACAATTTATAATCTAGATACCCTAAGGAACATTTAATTAAAGTTTGAAGGTATTTTGCCCAGTAGTTTCAGAGGAGAAGATTTTTGAAATAGTTTACGACGACAGACGACGACAACAGACGACGACGGACGCCAAGTGATGGCATAAGCTCACATGGGGCACTTTGGGCCCCGGTGAGCTAACAATGCATATTCGACTAATAGCACAGTTATTTTCAATTTGGGAAGAACAAATATATTACCAATAATCCTTTAGATTCTGAAAGGGGGAATAAGTTTGCTCTTTCAAAAAGTTAAAAAAAAAATCATTATATTACATGTACCACCACTCACCTCAAATAATGGTGGATTTTTAGTGTGTTGATGAAATCCTTTTTGTCTGCAGGATCCTATTTCTACAAGTCCTCTTTCTATTGATAGGGAAAATATACCAGTTCTAAAAATAATTGAAGCACAAATTAAATTGGTCTTGTTATCTGATAATTATTGATGTGTTTCACTGTTTTTCTTTTTCTTATTATTTGGTTTCATTAAAGGAAACTTAAGAATACTGTAAAAAATAAGCTCAAAAATAGCTTCAGCTTTGCAAAAATGAATTCATTCCTTTATACACAAAAGCCTAAAATACAGATCCTTGGATATTTGAAGTTCATTGTTTTAAATGAACATACATGGTAAAATAAATAAATGGGGAATGTGTCCATGGGACACAGATGATGCCCCCGCTTGCATATAACGTTATATAGGGACATAACTCAAGAACGGTAACCCAACTTTGTACTTGATCTGAGTTTTGTGGTAATAAGCTTTGTGTATAAATTTCATAATATATGGTTGAGGCAAACTTAAGTAAGAGAATGGAAATGAAAAATTCAGCAATTTTTCCATTTGTAAAGGGGCATTACTCTAGAAAGGTAAAAGTGACACCACCCAAATTCAACCTTTATCTGTGTTTTGTGGTAATAAGCTTTGTGTATAAGCTTCATAACATTTGGTTGAGGCAAACTAAAGTTAGAGAATGGCAACAAATATTCAGCAATTTTTCCATTTGTAAAGGGGCATAACTCTAGAACATTACAAGTGACACCACAAAAATTCAAACTTAATCTGTGTTTTGTAGTAGTAAGCATTGTGTATAAGTATAAGTTTCATAATATTTGGTTGAGGCAAACTTAAGTTAGAGAATGGAAATGAAAAATTCAGCAATTTTTCCATTTGTAAACGGGCATAACTCTAGAATGATAAAAGTGACGCCACCCAAATTCAAACTTGATCTGTGTTTTGTGGTAATAAGCATTGTGTATAAGTTTCATAATATTTGGTTGAGGCAAACTTAAGTTAGAGAATGGAAATGAAAAATTCAGCAATTTTTCCATTTGTAAAGGGGCATAACTCTAGAATGATAAAAGTGATGCCACCCAAATTCAAACTTGATCTGTGTTTTGTGGTAATAAGCTTTGTGTATAAGTTTCATAACATTTGGTTGAGGCAAACTTAAGTTAGAGAATGGAAATGAAAAATTCAGTAATTTTTCCATTTGTAAAGGGGAGTTACTCTAGAAAGGTAAAAGTGACGCCACCCAAATTCAACCTTTATCTGTGTTTTGTGGTAATAAGCTTTGTGTATAAGTTTCATAACATTTGGTTGAGGCAAACTTAAGTTAGAGAATGGAAATGAAAAATTCAGTAATTTTTCCATTTGTAAAGGGGAGTTACTCTAGAAAGGTAAAAGTGACGCCACCCAAATTCAAACTTGATCTGTGTTTTATGGTAATAAGCATTGTGTATAAGTTTCATAACATTTGGTTGAGGCAAACTAAAGTTACAGAACGGAAACCAATTTCGGGACGGACGAACAGACGGACAAGGGTAAAACTTAATGCCCCCTCCACTATGGCGGGGGCATTAAAAATACTTCTTAGGTTTTTTTCTTTTTCTACTATTTTTTTTTAGGGTTGTGTTCTTCATAGCTTCATTATCTTATCTTTTTCTACTTTTTTTGTGTACTTCATGTAAATTTCTTGTAAGGAAATTGTCTACACATTAAAAATTTTTTTTTTTAGGGTTGTGTTCTTCATAGCTTCATTATCTTATCATATACATAGTTGCATGAAGAGGCATAGCTTCATTATCTTATCATATACATGGTTGCATGAAAAGGCATAGCTTCATTATCTTATCATATACATAGTTGCATGAAGAGGCATATCTTCATTATCTTATCATATACATGGTTGCATGAAGAGGCATAGCTTCATTATCTTATCATATACATATTTGCATGAAGAGGCATAGCTTCATTATCTTATCATATACATGGTTGTATGAAGAGGCATAGCTTCATTATCATATCATATACATAGTTGCATGAAGAGGCATAGCTTCATTATCTTATCATATACATGGTTGCATGAAGAGGCATAGCTTCATTATCTTATCATATACATAGTTGCATGAAGAGGCATAGCTTCATTATCTTATCATATACATAGTTGCATGAAGAGGCATAGCTTCATTATCTTATCATATAAATAGTTGCATGAAGAGGCATAGCTTCATTATCTTATCATATACATTGTTGCATGAAGAGGCAATTTCAAAATCCAATATTAGAGTACTCACTCATTAAATTTTGGAGAACAGACAATAGCAATTGCCTCTGGTAACATTGCCTGGTAACCATACTGATTGTGCATATCAACACTCGACAGGAAAGCAGTCTGACTGGGATGTGTCTGTAAAAAGAAGTAACATTTTATGTGCAAAGAAGTTTGCAAAATTTCCACACATACACCAAATAACATTTACTCTTACCATGATGACTCAAAGTTTTTAATTTCATATTTTTGGCAGTACTGGGACATGCAAACAGAAATACTTGTTCCAGAATCATATGTTTATTATTGACATATTGAAAAGTTTATATTCCCCCAGATAAGAAGTTCAATACCTCTGTTTTGTGTGGACCAAACAGAATATCACACCTCACTCACAAAAATTTCAATTTCTCTATGAATTCATTTTTAATCTTTAAATGTGAATTTAAACGGCTTCTTAAATCTGAAAAATCTAGCAATAAATTGCTTAAGAATGTTAGAACTTTCCTTATCTTTGAAATCACCATCAAACATCTAACATCTGAAAGTTAACAACAAAAAAACAAAATAAAAACAAGTTGGACAGAGATCATAATATTATGGCCCTACATGGTAAGGATTAACATTTTACTGTCAAAAGTAAAAGTAAAAATACGAAAGTATTGATTCAAACTGATACAATATAATTGTATTTCCTTACATGTATCCAACCAAGGGTGATTAAGTCCCTTGGTTCTTGATACAGAAAAAGATCCTCTTCATCCTCAGCTACACATGTATCTGCAGTCCCTGTTTGTTTTGGTAAGATCAGGTGGGTAATCATAAACGCATCCTGTCTCTACAATAAATTTATAACAAAAGATATTAGAATTGCAAGTATGCTTTTTTTTATATATAATCTAAATATCATAATTTCAAAGACCATGATATGGTCATCTTTTTCGATGAAAGTTCACATTATACATGTATTCTGATTCACATTGCCAAACTTTAATTCAATATAAAACCAGCAATAATTTCTGCTACTTCTGCTGCTTATATGAACACAATTTAAAAGAATTTCTGTTATCTATGTGTTTTTTTTTTTAAAACAATGGCATTTTAATTTTTTATAAAGACTTCATCAGCTTGAATATCAGCTTGCCCTAGCAAGCTCGCTTGATATTCTTCCTGATAAAGTCAGTATCAAAAACAAAAATGCAATTATTCATTGTGTTAACTCTTGTTAAAACTCTATATATATATTGTACTTACAAGTTTTCCTGCTAAAAAGGCACATGTCTCCACATTTTTTAATGTATTATGTTCAGCTTTGACTAAAAATTTTCTAGGAAGGTCAGAAGGTATAAGCACATCCCTCAACCCAAACTTATTTCCACTAGAGCTACCAGTGCTCATAAAATGATCATATGCTGGTGGTTTTGTTGTTCTGTCTACTGATGGCAAAGGAGATCTATAAAATAAAATCTTTCACTTATCTACCTGTACATATACCAAATGTTTTTTTATACCATATCTTTAGATATCTCCATTCTCTGAATAGATTCAGATGAACACCAATGATTTAATCACGCATTTGCTATTGTTCACATATAAAAAAAAAATAATACAAAAATGATATAAATATTTGATGGGATAGAAATAAGATGTTGAATTAAGCATACCAATATAATGAGTAGCTAATCTTGTATAAATTTGATTTCAAAAGACTTAAAACTTTTTGACTTTTATTTGCAGTTTATAATTACACCATTGTCCCAGATTATGGGAAGAGTTAGGTTATAACACAGTAAGGTATCTTAAATGAGAAGACATGCCATTTTTCTCAAACACACAAGGGTTTTTGTCTATAAGTTGTGATTTCCTACTGAATGAAGTGTCCAAAAAGAATAACAGTCAATTAGAGGGTAAGTTACCTTTTACCTCTCATATCTTTCAAGAAATCAAGAGAACAATAACAATGCAGCTTTTGGATATTATTTACATTTTATATGTCAGAGCATGAAATCCCACATATTTGATCCACATTGATGTTTGAACTTGTCCAAGACATTCCTGATTTAAACCTTTATATAAATTTCATTAAACTCTGAGAAGAATTGTAGGTGTAAGAGCGCATCAAATGTTGATTTTTGGTATTATTTACATTTTCAAGGTGCATTAGTTCCCTAAATATAATCTATAGGTCTTGATTTTTTAATTAATCCAAGACATTGTTAATTTAAATATATTCAATAAATTTCAATGAGAAGTCTTGGCACATTCTAAGGATAATCATTTCAGGTATGTCTAACAATAACTTTAGTGGAGTTCAGAATTTCTGACTACTATACAAAAATAAACTGTTATCACAGAGATATGTCTCGCCTTTTTGTAATTTTGATAATTCAAATGTTGAAATTAAAATAGCAATACTTTAACATGTAAGTTATGCAAATATTCAAAGTCGATGAACCATGACTGTAGGTACATGGCTAAACAATCTCCATGGAATGAAATGTGCCAATGCTAATACAACTGTATACCAAATACCATTGACTTATTATAAGTCGTTCCCTTTAAACAAACCTAAACACAAACATTAACTTGTAAACTATGTAAAAGTTTCAGTCAATGAACCATGATCAGGGGTGGAGCTATATAATCTCCATGGAAACGATACTTGCAAATGCAAATATCATTGACTTAACATTAGCAGTTCATCTTAAACTGATCTAATCACAAACTAATACATGTAAAGTAAGCAAAAGTTTCAAAGTCAATAGACCATGACTGAGGGGGCGGGGCCAAATATTCTCTATGGAAATGAGATGTGCTAATGCTTATACAACTGAAAACCAATTAACATTGGCCTACCACTAATGGTTCCCCTCGAACTGACCTAATCACAAACTAATACATGTTAACTAAGCAAAAGTTTCAAAGTCAATAGACCATGACTGAGGGGGCGGAGCCAAATAATCTCCATGGAAATGAGATATGCCAATGCTTATACAACTGCATACCAAATATCATTGACCTACCACTAGTGGTTCTCCATAAATTGACCTAATCACAAACTAATACATGTAAACTATGAAAAGTTTTAAAGTCAATAGACCTTGACTGAGGGGATGGGGCCAAATAATCTCCATTGTAATGAGATGTGCCAATGCTAATACAACTGCATACCAAATATCATTGACCTACCACTAGTGGTTCACCATGAACTAGACCTAATCACAAACTAATACATTGTTGACGCCGCTGTCGCCACAGGAAACAGCATACCTATGTCTCGCTTTTTGACTCCGTCAAGGCGAGACAATAAGGAGATGTAGTAGATTGCCAATGAGTCAACTATACACCAGAGTACAAATGATATAAGCAATTATTCGACACTGTAAGGCCTTCAACAATGGTTAAACCAACACTGCCTAGTCATCTATAAACGGCCCCAACATGAAAAATGTGAAACCATTCAAATGAGAAAACTGCCTTATTCATAGCAATACAATTTGCGAAAAACAAATATGACAGACTTGAACATACTACAACAACTACGGATCCATAGATGGTTAGTAAAACCCAAAGACCGAAAGAATCAATCAGTACACATCCAACAGATTTTGTGTAAAGACATCATTTACAGTATATACTATTTGGTCTCTTTGATACATTCCCTGTTTCCATTCTCAATTTTATACTATACTTTGTTTACCCCTGTTTTTTTTAAAATGCTACACTGCTTGAGAGCACAACATATTACAATAACCAGCCATTATATGTAATATGAACTCTATATCAAACAAGAAGTTACAAAAGTTGTCATGCTAAGCATACCCTCAATTCGTAATTCAAAGTATCAAAAAACCGAAACCAATTATCTGACGGATCTGAAATGCCCTTACACATTAAATATAAAGTAAAATTGTTCAGTAAAATTAGAGAAATGTGTGAAGGAAAATATTAACTTTATTCAAAATATTGAAAAATTCAAAGTATCTGCAAACAGGACGTAGGTGTCTTGACAGACCTGAAAAGTGCTCATACTGGTGGAGTTTTTATTCCCCGAGGGTATCACCAGCCCAGTAGTCAGCACTTCTGTGTTGACATGAATTATCATTGATATGGTCATAATTATAAATTAACTGTCTACAAAACTTTGAACTTTTGAAATACTAAGGCTTTTCTACCTCAGGAATAGATTACCTTAGCTGTATTTGGCAAAAATTTATGGTCCTCAATGCTTTTCAACTTCGTACTTTATTTGGACTTTTTAAAAATTTTTGATTCGAGCGTCACTGATGAGTCTTTTGTAGACAAAATGCACGTCTGGCGCCAATATAAAATTTCAATCTTGGTATCTATGATGAGTTTATATACATTACAACTCATCACTATCAAGATGCTCATCAAATATAAAGTAATTCTGATCATTAGTATCTGAAAAATATGTCACAGAAATAATTGTTGGATGAAGGGTGGGTGGACATACAAGGTGTCTGTAATATAGCCCCTACTTTTAGCGTAGAGGTATAATAATATCTTACATTACTGATGGTCCATCATTTATCACAAGATTTTTCTTAAGATCTCTATCAGGTATGATAGGTCCTGCTCCTGCAGGTTGTGAATCTATATCTACAAGTTTATTAGATCCACCAAAGTCATTAGGAATATAAGATAAATTTCCAGGTGGCGCAGAAGGTATTTGATTGTTCAATAAGTTGGGTGGAGCACCACTATATATCCCAGCTGCAGCTGCTGCCGCTGCTGCTGTTGCCGCTTCCTGCTGTCTTTGTCTCTCTTGTTCCTGTCGCTTTAGTTCCTGTAGCCTTGCTTCTTGTTCTTCTAACCATTTTGTCTCAGCTTCTTGTCTCTTACATTCCTCTAGTTCTTCTATCTCTTTTCTCCTTGCCTCTTCCTCAGCCTGTTTTCTGGCAAGTTCTTCCTGGATTCTTTTCTAGAAAATATACATAATAATTGAATTAAGCATTTATTTATAACAAGCTACAGGATTATACAATTATTCGCACACATTAATATCCTGTTACATATATGTCCAATACTATGAATTCATAAAAAATTAAAACGATTTTAAGAACTAATTACTTGTAAAATGTCATTAAGATGGAAGTGTTCATATCCAAGTCATAGTTTATTTGATCAAAATAGTGTTCCTACTAAGTATGTGTTTCATACATGTGATTCTTCCGGCGGGAGTCAAAATCTCCCGCATTTCAGACCCTCTTCCGTCCCTCCCGTTAAAATTTGAAATCTTCCGCTTTTTGAAAATGTCAACCTCGTAAAATTTTCATTAGACATTTTTGTTTACAAAATCGATACGGACAGAGAAAAAGTCCGAGAAACTCGAAATTGATATGGGAAAAGTCCGAGAAAAACGGAAGTTTCCTGTAATGGATTTTGTGTCAAAAGTTAAAATAGGTAAAATTAGCCTGAGGTGTTTAGGATTAAACTGTATATACAACAATAAATAAAAGATAATAGGCAATTACCTAGTGATCAACTAGCTAGTTTAAGACACAAGCCAGGTTGATTAAAAGTGAAATACTGACAAAGGATTAAATTGTACAAGTTGTATAAACAACAATTTAATTTGATGCTGTTGAAAACATGGAACATTTACTGAACCTCAAAGACAAATGAAATCAACTCAAATATGATATTTATGGCTTGTTTTCTATCCAAGCCAAAGGAATACCTATATAAGTACAGTTGTCTTGGACTATTCTAAAATTTTAGAATTTGACAAAATGCAAACCGTATTTTTATATCACCAAATACCCCAGCAGCAAATAAAAGAAGACCAAGTATCTAGCCAAATTCAACTCTGCCTGGAGATCTGATTTCAAATGATGCAGATCCAGTACCAAGGGTCAAGACCATGCTTACTACACTTCATGCAATATCATGCAAAGCTGACTGTGGTGGCCCTAATGATTTGACCAAACTTATGGGGACAGCTACCCACCAGCAAGCCTACAACTCTATCAATTAACACCTTCTGTTACAAGCATGTTCAGTAGTAGTACCAAAGTTGACAATGTAGCTGAATCAGGGGTACTTTTTGCCAACTCTGTATGATGGCTGATCGCTTTATCTTGAATTATATATAATGAATAAATATTTGAAACCCCTTATCTTCTATTTTTATCAAGTAAAAATGGATATGGAGTTGTTGAAAGGTATGGAATTATTGTTCTTTTAACAAACAAAAAAGAAGATATGCAGTTTAAACACACAAAAAACCATTGCGTACGTCGATAAAAAATCTCCAGTTATGAAGCCCAAACTCCAGCTGAAAATTTCCAAATCTCCAGTTGTGGCTTGACAACTCTGTCACATGTCTGGTGTTTAATATATAGCTTTCATCTTCACATCAAACAGAAATTCAATACTCAGCCAAAGATACAGATAGAAGATAAAATATACAAACCTCCTCTTCTTGTCGTTTCTTTTCTATAGCAGCATATCTTTCTTTTAATTTGGCTTTCAATTTTTCTGCTGATGCAAAAGATGCGACCACTTTCTGTTCAAAAAAAAAATTAAAAAGATTTTAATAAAAAATCAAATATGTCACAGTATTCAATTTTCAATGCAATCTTTAATATACTGGCAATCACAAAATATAAACTTTGAACAAAAACAGATTTCTTGATTAATCGCATTATAATTTGGTCCTCTTCTCACCATTGGTTCATTATACTTACTTTACTTTGTACAAATATCAAAAGGAAGACAGAAAACAAATTATAATTTATTATTTCATGTGTCAAGTTAAATGAAAAATCCCTTTAAAATTTACAATATCTGAGAAGTATAAGATCCTGTCACAATCAGTAAATGAATGAAGGCTCAACAGAAAATTTGAAGGAAACAGGATTGGGAGGGATGTATCATGTAAAAATATTTTTTGCAGATTTTTTTAAATGGGAAAAAAAAGGATGCCATAAAGTCAAATTTTCTAAATCTTGCAGACAGAAGGGTCCTTAGTGAGTAAAATAATCTCACAAAACCTATTATTGAAAGTAAAAGGGCTTGCACTTTTTTAAAACTAGTCAAAAAACTTTAAGTAGATAATCATATCTGTGTAAGGATCATTTCTGCCTTCTCAGTAGCTATGTTTTTGTGCTTTTTGTCAGTAAAAGACCAGGTAACCCCTCATAAAATATCATTCTATGGCAGTCATTAAATTCTGTAGGAAACTCTGGTAATTTTAATGCTATCTGGTAGTTATCTGGATGAAAGTCTTCCATGTAAGACAATTGTCACTTGAACTTCGAAAATGCAGGAAACCAAAAAATCAATATAAGAAGTGCATAACTTGTCTTCTTGAAGATTGGAACGTGGAAGTTTGATCTGTTTTCTTTGATGGGTTTACATTGTATCAGGAGTTGCATATAAAAAAATGAAATTCTGCATAGACATAAGATGATAATTAAAGTGATTCTATGTGTGAACTCTGCTACAGAGGTAACCCAATAAAAGTACCTTTTTAATGGCTGACACATCTGCTTGTGGAGCTGATTTAAAGTCTGGATGCTTAGGGAGCTTTTCAACAAATAATCTGAAAAACAAAAACATAAACAAATGAACTTATTTCACAAAAGTTTCTAACAAACAAGTTAGCACCATTATTATCAAAAGCATAAATGCAGTTTAACCAGATACCTTTGAAGTAGAGGGTCTCACTTTTATGTTCTCTATCGTATTTAGCTTTATAGCTTTATTGTGTATTCATTGGACCAGAGTCTGATTTCAGATACCTGTTTAAAATTGGGTTTAAAAGAAATGTATCAAACAAAAACTTCCAGTATTATTTAATGAATAAAGGACCTGTATATTAAACATGGGTCTAGGGTCTGCAACATTTTACTGAATTTGTAAACCTTGACAGGGACATATCTCTATGTTTTGGTTAATCATACAATTATCATCTTCAAACAGTTATCCAAATACATAGCAGTCTGATTGTCCACAGATCATACTACAGTCTGAAAAAAAAACCAACTAAATGATCAACCTTTATTTCCACTTTATTTGTGATATAACTTCTAAATGTGATGAACAGTCAATTATTATCATTTAACTCTTACCAGTAAACATGATTTAAACCAGACCTGCAACCTCTTTCTTCCAGCTCGAGATTCAAACCTTTTTTTACTGCACACCTTCTAGTTGTGTTTAACAATTATACAAGTATCAGTATTAAAGTCTAAGCACTGCTGCTTAAAATACAGAGTGAACACAATGTGCATTCATGAACCTAGGTTGTGCAAAGTTTTATTCAAGTTTGTGACCTTGAACTTGAAGCTAGAGATTTCAATCTTATTGGCAATTCAACTTTTAATAATGATTATTAATCATACAAAAAACCATCATTGGACATCATGTAGTAAACAAGAGAAAGAGCAGACATAATCAAACATATGACATGAACTTAGGGTGGTTTTAATTCTTTGTCCTTGACATTTAAGCCATAGTGAGAGCATCATGAAATAGTAGTAAATAAAGAAACAAAATATATGTATCAGCATTTAAAAAAAACTACATTTATTTAACACAAAGCAGTACTCAAGATTTTTGGCATGGGTATCCCGGTAATCCATTTGAAATAGCTTATTTATACTATACATATCAATTATTGTTGTAATCCTAGCTCAGAAATATGTTTCTAACAATTTGTGATTTTTTACAAAAACTAACTTTTTACCACAATTATTTTTTTCAAATTTCACAAAAATGAATATGAAATAGGTGTTATGCTTATTTTTAATTTCTTTTTGAAATCATAGCACAAAAAAGATGTTTCTGAAAATTTGTGATTTTTTTTTTAAACAAAAACTAGATTTAAACAAATTTTATAGGGGAAAATTCACAATAAAAATTATATGCACAACAGCTGTCCTACTTTTCATCTGAGTCCTATCAATACCTTAGGAGGTTTAGAATTTACAAAATGTGTGATTTTTGTTTAATAGTTTTTTCCAAAATTATTTGGTCAATTTTCATAAGAAAATAATATTACACATCTACATGTAAGATGTAAGCCTCTCATATCTGAGAGACAAATGATCTCAATGGAATTGAGATGTGCATCTGCATACCAAATATCATTAACCTACCACCAGTTCTTCCATTTAAACTGACCTAATCACAAATTAATACATGTTAAGTAAGCAAAAGTTTCAAAGTCAATAGACCATGACTGAGGGGGTGAGCCAAAATGTCTCCAGGAAATGAGATATGCCAATGTTAAAACAACTGTATGCCAAATATCATTGACCTACTACTAGGGATTCCCCATAAACTGACCTAATTACAAACTAATACATTGTTGAGGCCGACGCCGCTGGAAACAGCATACATAAGTCTCACCTTTTGACCCTGTCAAGCCGTCAAGGCGAGACAAAAAAAAAACCCTGCAAAATAGCATCAGAGTCTTATATATATTTTTGAAGTTTTTGGGTAAGTGACACTAGTCTCAAAATTTGTGAAAGTGAAAACTATAGGAGTAATACCACCATTGTTTTTCCCCTATTAGTTTTTGTTAAGTTTGCACTTTTCCAAAAATTGTGCAGAATTTATCTTTGTTTAAAATAAAGAAATACTTGGCATGAGTCAAGTTTTATCCTGTCCAGTACTACAGACAAAATTTCACATAACATTTCATTGCATATAAGATAATAACGATCACTGGAAGTTAACCAATCAAATGTTCACCCCTTTTTTTCCTGTTTACAAGCTTTAGTAACCATGTAACCTCAAGTTTCCAAAATATTTTATAGAAACACCAAATAAAAAAAGAATGGTGCTTTGAAACATCCAAGATATATGTTTATGACTCAGAAATTTTTTACTGCAATGAAATATAGGATTAATTTCCTACAACTGTCAAATTCAAGGGAATATTTTTTTTCGACACTTTTTCGTGTTCAACCATATGTGACGTACTTTGATTTGGTGGTATTACACCTAAAGGGCTCCCACATCCTATATGTGGGGCCCTATACAAGTAATCAATTTCTGAAAGTTGTTTAATTATTGATTTATAAAGAAGAATTTTGAAACTAACTTACGATATGAATTTTGTATACAGAATAAAAGCACTTTCATAGTTGCCTTCTTCTTGATAAACCTTTGCCATCCTCATCATCTCCAGCCCTGATCGAAGATATCTTTTTGGTGGTATGGCTTCATCTATGTCAACTTTACAGGCATAAGTACATAGCTGTCTCACCCTTTCTGAAGGGTCATGGATCTCTGAAAATATTCCTGGTGAAGCCATGTCATACTATCTGCAAATATATAATACAAAATGGATAAAGACTATTCTGTTCTTTTGTTTTTCGCCATAGGTTTATTGACAACTTTTACTTTCAAAACAGAATAACTGGTATAACAAAGTGTTTTCTAGGTCTGATCAAGATACACAAATTTCCCTACAATTTTTGCAATTAGATATTAAGCTACCAAACTTTTTCTTTTTGCTTTTGTTTCATTTTAATTATGATACACTATGTACTCATATTCATTTTAATTATGATACACTATGTACTCATATTCATTTTAATTATGATACACTATGTACTCATATTCATTTTAATTATGATACACTATGTACTCATATTCATATTAATTATGATACACTATGTACACTACACTGTGGTCTGTGATTATATGACAAACAGAACACATAATGTTAACCACTATAAAGGTTCACTGTATTTTAATCCTTTTTGAAGATACTTTTTCTAAAGATTCCTGGTTCAGATACTTGACAGTGGTATCAAAAAAGGTTAAACAACATTTGACTCAATTATTGTGCTGTTTAAAAGTGGAAAGTTGTTCATATTGTGTATATCAATAATAATAACATTCTGATCTGACTAGGTTAAACAAGAGACACAAAGTTGTCTGGGGTCTATACCTTATTGCACTTAGTTTGTTTTATTCTTATCTTTAATGAACAAAAAATCATATTTTAAAAACTTCACTTGATGAAATACACATACAATTATGTACATGTATGCAATGATTATGTTCCAAATAAAATTATGTCTAAATTACATATATGGCCATGCTTTTATAATCTATATATAATTATTGAAAGTGGCATTATTGTAGCATTGAAAGAAAACAGCACTTTTGCCTGTCTTGTGACAGAGAACAAATTGAAGATGAATGCCATTTCTTTTCCAACTGTCCATACTATGTCTTAATAAGATGTACTTATATTAAAAAAATACACATATTTAAACTGATTCATATGTCCACACTGTTGAGCAGCAGCACACCAGTCATCAAAATCACTGCAAAATACATTAATGGTTGTCTCTCATTTTGATAAAATGTCTAAATTTTTAGTATGTTAATATTTTTGTTCATGATAATTCATGATTATTTAAGAATACTCTAATATTTGTAGTCATTTATTAATATATATTTTTTTTAAATTCTCATATGAAAACCACTGCCCCCTTATTTTTTAACTGTACAATCGTCTGTTTTATTGTCGATATTTTACAGTCATGTCATAACCAGTTATTGTAAATGTGTTTGTGCTAATAAATATTGTCTATTGCCTATAAAAGTGAGGCAAAAGATACCAAAGGGACATTCAAACTCATAAGTTGAAAAATAAACTGACAACGCCAAGGCAAAAAAAGAAAAAGATAAAAAGACAAACAACAGTACACAATAATAAAAATAATTTTTCTGAAAGGCTAATATATCTTTTGTTCAATTCTTACCTGCTTCGGGTGAACAGAATGGTAATGTAGGCTTAAAAGGCACCAGATGGACGTGAGGTAGTTTATAAAAATTTTCCTGAATAGAGTTAATAGGGCTTGCTAAGAGATTCTAAGGGCAGCCAAATCAGAAAATCACTCCGGACCAAGGATCCAGAATTTTTTTCACACAATTTCGGTCATTTTGAGATGATTGAAAAGTTGGTGCCTCTTTTCAAATTGTCAATGTCAAACTAGATTCATAGCACCAACAAACTTGAATTGCTGTTTCATCGCATTTACTAAGTAAATTTCTTACCATTTTTCTAAAACCTTCAAGAACAGTTTAGGGAAGGCAACAGTTTAAAATTGATATGATTTTAATGACTCAAAATGGTTAATTTCAGGGAAAATAGTACTATTACATTTTCCCAGCATTAGGTTGGCCTTTTGTGTACCCAAGGCAGGTGAAGGAAGTCAACTTAGGAGCGCTGTGATTGGATGTAAGGGTACAATATATTTTTTTATTTATCCATGAATAACTGCAGTGTGTATATTTACAATATAAATTTTGAAACCCATTGAAATATTTTCTAGAGAATTATTCGAAAAGACTTCCAAAATTTCATAAATTTGGTGTAAAATGACGGTGGGCATGGATAACATAAACAAGCTCCGTTGGAAGTTGGTCATGATACTATTTGGCTTCAATTTTTAAAACATAATAATAAAGTACTAACACCACACATAACTGTTTTGTCCAGGTTTTTATTATAAAAAGTGGTAAATTTAGAAAATGTTAGTATTGTCGCCTATGGCAGAATAAATAGTACCGTTTTCCCTTCACAGACATTGCTATTGTTTCATTCGATTTGACGAAATTAAAACCGGAAGTTTTGCGATAATGTTAAAGTACGGATGATTGAAGATTCATTTCTGGGATTCGTTTTGTTTATCAAATTGACAGGAAATCACCGGCTTTTTAATTTTATTACCTTTAAAAGTGTTTGAATATAACAGATAATAGTTGCACTCGTTTACTTTAGCATGAAAGCAATTTGCATGTTACGATTAAATGTTTAATTTGCTTAAGACAATTTCACGCATGCGTATTACATAGTAAATAAAGCACATGTGTTACTCATGAAAAAAAAACTTTTTTCTACATAAATTAAATCAAGGTTTAATTTTAAAATCAGAATTAATGATTGTCTTTGCTGAAAAGTAATCAAATAATGAATACACTTGTCAGGGAATTTTAATTTCTTTAAGATATTATTCTGAGCTTGTGATCAATGTCAGGTGTGAATAAAAAAACACAGGTAAAAAGTAATTAGCGGTCATTAGCCAATGTTCCCGTAGGCATTGATATAGTTATTAGGAGGGCCCTCAGGATTATCAAACTATTTTGGAGTGGCAGTTTTATTACAGGAAAGGGATTATTAACAAAAACAAGTGATCACAAGTGCAAAATGACGATTCAGAAATCCGATTTCAAACATTGAGTCAATGAAATGACCGAAATTATTTCTGTTAAAAAATAAAATTTGTCCTAAATCCCAATTACTCGTTTAGGACATATAGCTTTCAGTTTAGGACATGACTGGCAAATATGACTGTTTCCAGACCCTTGCTCCGGACATATTTTCCCTTAACATCTTGAGATTAAAAATAAAAATTTTATTACTCATAAGTTTACGATTTTATTTACATGAATGCATGTATTTTAATCAAAAGTGAGGGTGAACAAGTGGGCGAATAAACCCTGGATGTACACGAGACAAGAAATTGGCCCAAAGAACACAATACGTCACAACCAGTCTACTGGTTAGGATTTGTTAGAACTTGAAATGAGCAGATGGTCATATTTTGGCTCATATTTCAGGAATATTTGACTATGCAACAAGTACATGTAAACCAGCTGCCTCAATTATTGTATATTTATTGCATACGAACATGTATTGTCGATGATTGCAAGTTTGTTATGCTTGTAAGTTTGTGACATTTGGGGATTTCCACTTTATTCGTGATGTCATGTATAAGTATTTATCATCGGCAACATGCTTCTTCAAAAAACTTAACCGAACATTTTTCATTGCATTTTCACTAATATCGGCATGAAAAAGCGAAGTTGTGTATGTTCTTGCATATTATTTGTTAAACGTCTGTTTCCACTATTACCGATTTATTCCTCTCCTAGATTTCGTTTTATTCTTGGGAAAATCGTTTTTTTAAGGCCAAGAGTATTATTTTTTAAAGTCTGTAAGTTAGCGGATTTTTTAAGATCAGAAAATGATTTGAATTTCGTATATTTTGATAAAGCAAAACCCGCCAAATATTGGCTTGTAAACTAATCCTATGCCATTGAATGCAAATTGAATGAAGAAATACTTTGATGCATTAATGACATTGAGACATCGTTATAGTTATCTTAAACGTGTTTAAAGTGTTTAAATCTGGACTTTTCAATTGACCATTGGAATTCACGTGTAAAAACTAGAATAAATGTTGTAGGGAGAATAAAAAAAGTTAGTACGTCCTAATTTGTCTTTTTAATGAGATATTCACAAAGGTCAGGAACTTTCAAGCATGTCTACTTATTTTACAGAATCGGGTCACAATACGAAACATAGACAGATTGACCATGTTTCTGAAGCTATTCCTCAATTAGGTGTATCAGACTGTTTGCAAATAGGTAAAGCATATATACATTTACAGTGGATTAATGCTCCAAGGCTGTGATTTTTTCTTTCGTTTCGGCGAACTTCCAATCATCTAGGTCTAGGATAACCAAAATTTTTTTTTAATGTCATGTATGTATGTCTTAAATGGTGTCGTCGGTTTTCTTTGACTTGTATTATTTTTTTGTCCTTTTGGAAACTTACTATATACACCAAATTCATCAATTTCAACAAGATGTTCTCAGTAGACGAAGGAATATATAATGTTATGGACTGCTAATGCTGATGTGTGAATCAATATTTACAACAAAAGTGTGAGGGTGAGTCACCAAAATATGACATTTGACGGGAAAACCTTTATTGTGAATTTTTTAGCGGGATAAAAATCAATAGTTTGATTGGTTCTCAATGCAACTGCATCATGTCATTGCAATTTGATGCCAATAAAAAGGAACAGACCATTTTACAAATCTCATCGGGATTCTGTCTGCTGCAAAACTACATCCTGTAGGATCCGTGATATACAGTGCTACACCCAAAATTATGTTGAATAAGAAAATATTTCTATCACGTTATTGATAAAGCATTGAACAAAACTTATAATTTGTGACTTTAATGACTATTTACATTTATCTGAAAGATTAACATTTAGTTACAATAATGAACATCATGTTGACCGACATTTCTTTAAAGAGAGGCGAATTTTGATTGGTCAAAGCGGCCTGGCACCTGACCTTGACAGTGAATTTTTGCAAACATTAGAAACCGAACGTTTTTCTTGCAACATAAAAAGAGGTAGAATTTACATTGATATTTATTGAAGGTAAGTTGAAAGATAAATCATGCGCGCACCACGATCTATCAGTTAAGAGAGTTGACACTAAATTGGCAAAAGAATGAGAAACTGACAAGTGATTCCTTCCAGTGTTTCATGTCTTTTCTGGTCTAAGAAATGATCAAATTTGCAAAAGTCTGAGTCATCATTTTCACAGCTTCTCCAATACCAGTAAGTTGCAGTTCATTTCTTTAAGATGCATCCTATCAAATGTTTTGCGTACAAATCTGATAGTAAGCAGAGAATATTTTTCTTTTATAGATATATATCAAGCCCTATTAGTATTAAGTCTATTCATGAAAAATTTTGCCAACTACCTCACTTACTTAAGCTTATTCACCTCTAACTGTTGCCCTTTACGCTTACACTAGTTACAGTACAGCACCATTCCGTACATTCGAAGCAGGTAATAATTGAATAAAAGACATATCAGCCTTTCAGATTCTTTAAAGTTTTGAAAATACCTTTTTGAGGGAGGCCAAATCAGAAAATCCCTCCAGACACAGACCCCAAAAAGGGATTAGGTTGGCTTCTTTAATAAGATCAAGGTTATTTCTTGTTTAAAAGAGAGGCGAAAGATACCATAAGGACATTCAAACTCATAAGTCGAAAATAAACTGACAATGCCTTGGCAAAAAAGAAAAAGACAAACAACAGTACACAAAACACAACATAGAAAACTAAAGACAGTGAGAGCAACAGGAACCCCACCTATAATTGGGGGTTTAGTTAAATTTTGATTTGTTAAAAAAAGTTTGGTGTCTAGATCTTGTTATATGTCCTTAGAAGGATTTTACATGTACGAGTAGGAAGAATTTGAATCTTGCATAATTTTGCTACATCTCCCGTATCACCAGATGTTTAATATCTTTTAAATGGTTCCACCCACTTGATTACTTTTCAATGCATCTAATGATCATAGCATGATAGCAGTACTTTTGAAAGGATGAAAGTACCAATATTTTTGTACTACATATTGGTTACATGTACATCTAATAAACTTTGTTTTGATGAAACAAATATGTTTCTTTGCTGAAACAGACCAACTCGACCCCCATTATGTGACACTTAAGGCGAAGTGTACGTAATTGCACGCCTCTAGCGGAATTCAGGATAAAAAACGTGCGTCGTTAGTTACGCCGATTATCTCCCCTACTCCAAGAAAGGAAAAATGGGCACATGAAAGAGAAATGACTTCGTGCGGTCTATCATGAATTCAAACAAGTATTCATGTGCTATCTCAAAACTTCAAAGAAATAATTAGAATGACTCCAATCAGAAATCTGAGTATCCTATTGTGAGTTAGTCTGACTCTATTACCACTGTTTTTGTTCTAGACACGCAGGAGCAGGTACACAATACGACTCAAGTTTATTTCAACAGAAGGTAAAAACGCCTAAACAACAAAATTATAACAAAATAAAAAATAAACCAGTGACAATTCTGCTTCTATTCGTATCAAATTCATTAAAATCAAACCAGAATTGACCCCACAATAGTTTTTGAAAAACCATAGTTTTGAATGAAACGCACAGTGTACTGTAGATCCTGTAGCGTAAAATTGTAGGTAACGAATAATTATATTGCATGTGAATTTGTGTCTTGAACAAGAAAGACGTTGGCATGTCCGTTTTTATGCAATTGAAAATTTTATGATGTTTTATATTTTATTATTTATGTAAAAAGTATAAAAGATACTAAGGGGTAATCGACCACTAGTACAACATTTATAAGCCGAAGAAAAAGCCAACAGCAAAAAAAAAATCCATCTGTTTCCCTCCACAAAACATTACACACTCAGAAACTAAGAATTGTTCACTATTACATTTATCTCAGAATATGTAAAATCTATGTCATCCAAATTTCAGTTTTCAAGGTGCAGAAAATAAACAGGTGTCTTCTATTCCGTCCGCAATTTTTGGGGAAAGTAAAATCTAAATTTAGAACGATGGTTGAAACTGAAACTACACATGTATGATAAAAATAGAACGTGTTATTTTTTCTTAATCAAATTCCGATTTCGAAGGGATAGCGAAATTTGTTCTCTTTTGTTGTGCTTTTGTGTATCATTCAGCAGTAGTATAAGGTAGGGGAAGAAGGGTTAGGGGTGAAGAATAATAGTTCTACAATGTCGGGGCTTTTTATAACCCGGCGACTATATACGGTATGGATTTTCTCATTGTTGAAGGCCGCATGATTGCCTATAACAATTGCTTACATCCACATCCTTTAAGGTAGCTGGGGTGTCTAAATGTTGGACGATAGATTTTTCTTAAACTTCTGTAAGACTTCTGTGTCAATGTAATTTTTAATTTCAATATAAAAACTGGGGATCACGGACCTTGTTTTTTCGTAATAACACATTGAAATTAACGAAATTTGGGTTATTTTATATTGTTGATATAGGAGAAACTTAAGTTTTCCTTATTGCGGAAACATTAAACGATAGAATTGGCTAAAATTCGATGAGAGAATTGCTTTTCATTAATAACTCCGAAATATCAAATAAAAATTAGGGGTCACGGTCCTTATTTTCTTGAAAAAATCCCCAAAAATTTTAAATATACTTTACGACACTTAATTTCTTGATAGTTCAATCTTTAAACTTCAAGTTTTAGGTATTTTGTTGTATATTAAATGATACTTGGTATAATATTTTTAAAACAAAAATTTTTTTGCAATTAACATGATCAGAACGGACGCTCAGAAAAAGACACCCGATCTACCTTAAACGTGGCAAATAGTTGTCTCATTTGCAATCATACCACAGCTCCTTATGTTCATATTATATTAACAAAACTGCAATTCATTTGCATTATATACAGGAACAATTTGTATGGCACTATACTAGGTAAACTCGTATAGCATCGCTCTTGGTACATTCTTATAGCATTACACCAGTACATTAATTTATAGCATATCACTATGCACAAAGCTTTAGCATTACACAATACACAATGCTATAGCATTATACACAATATACGCAATGCTAAGGCTAACACTGGGAATGATCTGTGCTACGTGAAGTTAAAACTCCGATCTGTTTTACTTTGCTAAAATTCATATGCGGGTTCTTCTTTTGACCTTATTACAGTCATAAAAATTCTCAAGATAATATGCAGATGCAGTTTTCTTATTTTTTGGGAGTCGTGCATGTGGATATTAAACAAATTATGGAACAAAAAATTATTTCCTTTTTTACTTAAAATCTCCAGCAAACATTAAATTATGCTTTGTCGTGTAGTTAAAGAAAAGGGAAAGCGATCGAGACAGGAAATTTTTTAAATAAAATTGCAGAGTTGTGTCACGTGCACGCGTGTGAACCTGACAAAAAATGGGCTTTGTGCGCAATCCCTCGAATAGCGCCGGAAATGGTGAGGATGAAAAGATGCAGCAAATTATATTCACTTTTTTAAAATACAAACATGCAGAAATAAGATTTTAAAAAAGACGTGTATACGCGATCCCAATATTATAACCGATTATTTAAATACGTATAGAATCATTCTGTCAACGCTGTGTTTACTGGGACAATTTTAAACTTGATATTTGATTCATAATTATTAGAACATTACAATATAAAAAAAGAACATGTGGCATGATTGCCAATAAGACAACTCTCCACAAGAGTCCAAATGACACAGAAATTAACGCTTGAGCATTTGCAATAATTAGGAAAATGGGTTATACACACTCACGATTTTGTTACGACACTGTACGGTATAATAGCGTTATAGAGTAGAAATTGTGATGACGTTACAGAGGACATCAATAACGTCGCCGATTGTTTTTATTCTTTCCGCTAGAAATCAAACTTCCACAGGATATAGCTTGAAAACTAGCACGGTTGCTAAGGACTTTCTTTGCACCAATGGGTTCGTCGTTCATTTTTGAATCGCATATCGATTTTTAAAAAAATTCTGTGGAGCAACGAATTAGAAAATCTAGATAAAGTAAAAATATCGGCCGATTTTTATGATTTTCCCTATATATCCTTTGTATTTTTGGCTTATCATGCTGTTAATTTCAACAGCTTGTATCTGAAAAACGAAAACGGTTACCCCCTTTTTTTATTTTATTGTGTGATGTATTTTTACAAACAGAATCCACATGTAAAATTTAAAAAAATTCTGTGGAGTAGTTAATTACGTACACTTCGCCTTAATTGAGTTTATATCAGCTCTTCTTTGTTTGCTGTGAAATTTTTTTATGATGGATTTTGATAAATTATTAGAATAAGGACCAAAGCACTCTTTGCTATATAATCTCTTCAGTCATGTGTACACGAATAAAACATTTTTATACGCCCGTTTACAGGACGTATTATGGTATACCGTTGTCTGTCCGTCCGTCCGTCGTCAACATGTCGGACATTAACTCAAAAACGCTTTAACCAATTTGCTTAAAACTTTAGTGAATTGTTTATATCTATTAATGTGAGCTCCCTTTCGTTTTTTATAAATTTTAGATTTTATGTTTCCGAGTTATGGGGTTTTATTCATTAAAAAAAGGGGGATTTTCCAGTTTTCGGACAATAACTCAAGAATGCTTTCATCAACTTGCAAGAAATTTTGGTTAATTGTTTATATCTATTGACATGAGCTCCCTTTAGATTTTTATAAATTTTAGATTTTAAGTTTCCAAGTTATGGGGTTTTATTCATAAAAAAAAGGGGGATTTTCCAGTTTTCAGACAATAACTCAAAAATGCTTTCAGCAGTTCTCATGAAACTTTGATGAATTGTTGATATCTATTGATGTAAGCTCCCTTTAGAATTTTATAAATTTTAGATTTTACATTTCCGAATTATGGGGTTTATTCATTAAAAAAGGGGGGATTTTCCAGTTTTCAGACAAAAACTCAAAAATGCTTTCAGCAATTCGTACGAAACTTTGGTGAACTGTTTATATCTATTGATGTAAGCTCCCTTTAGAATTTTATAAATTTTATTTGTTTTTAGTCTGACAACAGATTTACTAAGTATTGCG